ACCCTCTGGATTTGGGGTGGGAAACGCCACGGGTTTGGGGTGGGAAACGCCATGGGTTTGGGGTGGGAAACCCTCTGGATTTGGGGTGCGAAACGCCATGGGTTTGGGGTGGGAAACCCTCTGGATTTGGGGTGGAAAATGCCATGGATTTGGGGCGGGAAACATTCTCAATTTGGGGTTGAAAACCCTCGGGATTTGGGGTGGAAAATGCCATGGATTTGGGGCGGGAAACACTCTCAATTTGGGGTTGAAAACCCTCTGGATTTGGGGTTGAAAACCCTCGGGATTTGGGGTGGGAAACGCCACGGGTTTGGGGTGCGAAACGCCGTGGGTTTGGGGTGGGAAACCCTCTGGGTTTGGGGTGGGAAACGCCATGGGTTTGGGGCAGGAAGCACTCTCAATTTGGGGTGGAAAATGCCATGGGATTTGGGGAGGAAGCACTCTCAATTTGGGGTGGAAAACCCTCGGGATTTGGGGTGGAAAACCCTCTGGATTTGGGATGAGAAACTCTGGATTTGGGGTGGAAAACGCCGTGGATTTGAGGTGAGAAACCCCACGGATTTGGGGTGGGAAACTCATTGGTTTTGGAGTAGGAAACAACATGGGATTTGGGGGTGAAAACCCTCTGGATTTGGGGTGGAAAACCCTCGGGATTTGGGGTCGAAAACCCTCGGGATTTGGGGTTGAAAACCCTCGGGATTTGGGGTTGAAAACCCTCGGGATTTGGGTTAATAAACCCCACGGATTTGGGATGGAAAACCCCTCGGACGCGGTGAAATCTCCAACGTACGAAGGAACCCAAATTCCCCCAACTCCACCAAAGACCCCTCCAACCACCCCACCCCGGAACGAGCCGGAATCTCCCCCCGATCCACAAAAAAAACCCCGAAACGACCCCAAAATCCACGGATTTGCTTCCCTCCCCTCTCTCCCCGGGTACCTGGCGCGGCGTTTCCGCACCCGGCGCTCGTGCTCGGCCTCCTCGTAGTAGAACTCGTTGTGGCTGTTGTCGCGCCGCCGCGCCGCCGCCGCGATCACCGCCCGCGACTGCCCCGTGGAATTGTTGGTGGAATTCTCTGCGGAGGAGACGGCGAGCTCGGGAAAACAACCCGGAGCTCCCCGATCTCCTCCACCCCTTCCTCGAAAAGAATTCCCGCTGAGGAATCTTTGGGATGGGAAAAGGGGAGGAAAAGAGGGAATCTCACCCTCGCCGAGGGAATAGACCTTAAAGCCGGACATTTTCTTGGAGAGGACGGATTTTGGGAGGTTGAGGAGGGCGGGGTTGTAGACGGGGAAGTCGTGGTAGTAATTCTCCAGGATCCACACGGCCGCTCGCTGGATGCTGCCGGGGGGGGAAAAAGCGGGAATGTGGGGCACGGGGAGAGTCGGGAATGTGAGGGGGGGACACACGGGGAAGGGATGGAGGGGAATTCCCAGGAAAAATGTGGCTGCCCCATCCTTGGAAGCGGCCAAGGGTGGGTTGGTGGGGGGTGTTCCCGCCCGTGGAGCTTCCAACCCGAATAATTCCATGATTCCATCAATTCCCAGGATCATCCCGGCTGGAAAAGAGCTCCGGGATCACCGAGTCCGAGCTGTGTCCGGTCCCCTCTTTGTCATCCGGAGGAATTCCCAGGACACCTCCAGGGATGGCCGCTCCCAACCTCCCCTTCCACGGCATTTTTCCCTTTCCCAGGAGGAATCTCCCCAAATTTCCCACCCTGGCACAACTCCAGGCCGTTCCCTCTTCTCCCGAGATCAAAACCCAAACCCTTCCACCCTCATCCCCTCCCGCTCCCTCACAACATCCCCAAACCTCCCCTCTCCGCTTTTTCCACCAAAAAAAACCACCAAAAAACCCCCCCAACCCCGATTCCCAGCGGGAATTCCGCGCCGTCCCACCTGAGGTGGCCGACGTTGTAGAAGCGGCTGGCGCCGTCGGCCGAGCGCACGGCCTTGAGCGTGAACTGGGGCTGGAGCTGCCGCAGCTCCAGCAGCACCACGGCCAAGTAGTGGACGAAGAGCAGCGCGTCCACCAAGGAGACGGCGAACTGCACCACGCCCCGGTAGTTGCGGTCCCGGGAATCCAAGATGCGCACCCCGTAGAAAAGCCAGTAGGAGACGACCAGCAGGAAGACCAGCACCATCAGCAGGGCGCGGAAGACGAAGACGCGCGGGAAGAAGGCTTTGGGCCGGCGGAAGAACAAGGCCCAGCTGCCCAGCAGGAGGATGAGGAGTTTGAAGGCCACCGAGATGAAGAGCCCCTCGCAGGGCGTCCCGCAGGGCTCCAGCTCCTCCCGCCACAGCAGCTGCGGGAGGAGGAGGAAGGCCAAGGGCGTGAGGAAGGCCAGGAGCGCCAGGGCCACGCCCAGGGCCACGCCCAGGTGGCGGGAGCAGTCCAGGTGGGCGCTGTCCTCCATGTCCTTGGTGATGCGCGTGAGGTCATCGTGGGAGATGCTGTGCTCCGACGTCCCCGTCACCACCGTGGTGGTCTCGCCCCAGTTGTCGTCCTGGGGACAGGGGACATTCCAAAGGGTGGCTCCGTGTCCCAGGTGCGGCCACCTGAGCTCCAGGAGCTCCCACCCACCACAGATCCAAACCAGGAATTGTCACCTGGACAGGGACAGAGGACATTCCAAAGGGTGGCTCTGTGTCCCACCTGGCCCAGGTGGCCACCTGACCCCCAGGAGCTCCTGGGGACATTCCAAAGGTGGCTCCGTGTCCCACCTGACCTCCAGGACCTCCCACCCAGCACCCAGGTGTCATCCTGAGGGGTGGCTCCATGTCCCACCTGGCCCAGGTGGCCACCTGACCTCCAGGAGCTCCCACCCACCACAGATCCAAACCAGGAATTGTCACCTGGACAGGGACAGAGGACATTCCAAAGGGTGGCTCCGTGTCCCACCCGACCTCCAGGAGCTCCTGGGGACATTCCAAAGGTGGCCCCATGTCCCACCTGACCTCTGGGACCTCCCACCCACCACAGACCCAAACCAGGAATTGTCACCTGGACAGGGACAGGGGACATTCCAAAGGGTGGCTCCGTGTCCCACCTGACCTCCAGGAGCTCCCACCCACCACCAAACCAGGAATTGTCACCTGGACAGGGACAGGGAGACATTCCCAGGGCTCCTTCCCGAATTCCTCCAATCCCAGAGCTGCATTCCCATCTCCAAACCCCCATCCCACCTCCAAGCCGGGAGCGCTCCCCGGAGCCATCGCCCTCCCGGGGAGTGGCAGAACCTCAGCCCGGAACCGATTCCGATTCCGATTGGAATTTTTTTCCCTCTGGGAAAGCTCCGGCAGCGTTGGGATCGGGAAGCTCCCAGACTTCCCAGCAAACCCCCCCCCGGGGCTGGCGGGGCCAGACGGAACACGCCCGGCACGCCCCCGCGCCGGGAATTGTCGGGAATCGCTCCGGACGGGCCCTTCCCTGCTCCAGAACCCCCCTCTCTCCCATTCCAAAAATCCCGGATTCCTTCCCAGCTGGATTCCTTCCCCTGTCCGTGTGTCTTTCCCTCATCCCGCGTTTTGGGCGCTCGCCACATTTCCTGGAATTTTTTTCCGCCTGGGAATTCTCCCCGACAAATTCCCGCGGGAAAAGCGGGAAGTTCTTCCCTGTGCGGGCGCGGGTTTTTCCACGGATTCCCCATCCCTGGAAGTGCCCAATTCCATCCCTGGGACAGCGGGAGGTGGGGGCCCTGCCCATGGGACCATCCTTGAGGTCCTTTCCACAGCAATCCATGGATTTCATTCCCAACCGGAGCCCGGGGCTTTCCAGGGCGGCTTTGGGAGCGCCATTCCCAGGAAAAGCCGCCGGAGCCGCCGGCGTGGGCGGATTGGGAGAGGATGAAAGGCCGGGATGGGGCTTGGAGGAACTCCAGGATTCGGGAATCAGGGGCACCAGGGATGGCTGGGGCTGGGCAGCCTCTGCTTCCATCCAGCCGGGAATTTGGGGCAAATCCCGGAGGTTTGGATCCGTCGGGGGTCGGATCCCGGGGGGGGCGTTTTCCACCCCCGGCTCTTCCCGAGGCGCCAGCGGAGCCGCCTCTCCTTTCATTTTCTCCTTTTCCAGGGACCGGCTGGACCGGCTGGACCGCTCCGCCGGGAAATTCCGCCGGGAAGCTGCCGGGATCCCTCCCCTCGGGATTCCAAACCTTTCCCCGCTCACCCTCTCGTCCCCCCGCGTGGATTCGTTGTCCAGCAAAGGCTCTCCCGGCGCTTGGATGGTCACGGATTTGTCCCCGCGCGTCCCATCCCGGCTCTTGGAGCGGTGCCGCTCCCGCCGATCCCTGGGGGAAAAAAGCGGGGAAAGAAGTGGGAAAAGAAGTGGGAAAAGAAGTGGGAAAAGAAGTGGGAAAAGCGGGAAAAGAAGTGGGAAAAGAAGCAGGAAAAGAAGTGGGAAAAGAAGTGGGAAAAGAAATGGGAAAAAAAATGGGAAAAGAAGTGGGAAAAGAAGTGAGAAAAGAAGTGGGAAAAGCAGGAAAAGAAGTGGGAAAAGCGGGAAAAGAAGTGGGAAAAGCAGCAGGAAAAGCGGGAAAAGAAGTGGGAAAAGAAGTGGGAAAAGCAGCAGGAAAAGCGGGAAAAGAAGTGGGGAAAGAAGTGGGAAAAGCAGGAAAAGAAGTGGGAAAAGCAGGAAAAGTGGGACAAGCGGGACGAGGACACGCATCATGGGACGGGGGACACCCCCCAGGGAATCCCGGGATCTCTCACCTGTGCTTGCGGGAGCTGCGGGAATGGCCGGATTTGTAGGAGTAGCCGGAATACTGCGACTCGTTATCCATGGCGTCGGAGCGCCGGGATTTGTGGCGCTCCAGGATTTGGGATTTGGGTTTTCCCGGGAGAGCGGCCAGGGCCTCCTTCAGGGGGGGTTTCTTCAGGCCCAGGGGCACCTTCAGGAGATCGACCGTCACCTTGAGGGGCTCAATTTTGTCACCTTGGGGTGGCCCTGGCTCAGGAGAAAAGGACGCGCCCACCTGGCCCAGGGGACACGCCGGAGCGTCACCGGGGCTGGCCCAGGATGGCCCAGTATGGCCCAGTATAGCCCAGTTTGGCCCAGTATGGCCTAGAACAGCCCAGTTTGGCCCAGAATGGTCCAGAACAGCCCAGTATGGCCCAGTATGGCTCAGTTTGGCCCAGTATGGCCCAGGATGGCCTAGAACAGCCCAGGATGGCCCAGGATGGCCCAGTTTGGCCCAGTATGGCCTGGAACAGCCCAGGATGGCCCAGTGTGGCCTAGAACAGCCCAGAATGGCCCAGTTTGGCCCAGTATGGCCTAGAACAGCCCAGGATGGCCCAGTGTGGCCTAGAACAGCCCAGAATGCCCCAGTTTGGCCCAGTATGGCCCAGAACAGCCCAGGATGGCCCAGTTTGGCCCAGTATGGCCTAGAACAGCCCAGGATGGCCCAGTATGGCCTAGAACAGCCCAGAATGGCCCAGGGTGGCCCAGTATAGCCCGGTTTGGCCCAGTATGGCCCAGAATGGCTTAGAACAGCCCAGAATGTCCCAGTTTAGCCCAGGATGGCCTAGAACAGCCCAGGATGGCCCAGTGTGGCCTAGAACAGCCCAGAATGCCCCAGTTTGGCCCAGTATGGCCCAGTATGGCCTGGAACAGCCCAGGATGGCCCAGTATGGATGATCCTGCCAAATCCCAAATCCCTTTTTCCCAAGGTTTTGGGGGAACCCGGACCCCCCAATCCGGGGAGGCCCCGGCTGCCTCTGGGAGCCTTCCCAGGTTTCCATGGAAATCCCATTCCCACCGAATCTCCCCCCAAAAAAATTCCTTCGGCCTGGGGAAAGCGGGAGAAGGGGTCAAGGAGGAAAAGGGGGAAGGGAAGGGGGGCGGGAATTCCTTTGTCCGGAATTCCGGATGATCCCGCACGGATCTCCATGGAAACCGAGGCCTTTCCCCGCTGCCGGCGTTGGCCGGGAGATGGGAACGGGGCCGGGACGCTCTGGGGGCGGCGTTGGCCGGGAGGGGATGGGGCCGGGACGCTCGCCAGTAAGGGCTGGATCCTGTCCCAGTTCCCAGTAAGGGCTGGATCCCATCCCAGTATATCCCAGTAAGGGCTAGATCCTGTCCCAGTATATCCCAGTAAGGGCTGGATCCTGTCCCAGTGTATCCCAGTAAGGGCTGGATCCCATCCCAGTGCTCCCAGTAAGGGCTGGATCCCATCCCAGTGTATCCCAGTAAGGGCTGGATCCTGTCCCAGTGCTCCCAGTAAGGGCTGGATCCCATCCCAGTAGATCTCAGTAGATCCCAGTTCCCCCAGTAAGGGCTGGATCCCATCCCAGTGCTCCCAGTAATGGCTGGATCCCGTCCCAGCAGATCCCAGTATATCTCAGTAGATCCCAGTAGATCCCAGTAAGGGCTGGATCCCATCCCAGTGTATCCCAGTAAGGGCTGGATCCTGTCCCAGTGCTCCCAGTAAGGGCTGGATCCCGTCCCAGTATATCCCAGTAAGGGCTGGATCCTGTCCCAGTAGATCCCAGTAGATCCCAGTTCCCCCAGTAATGGATGGATCCCGTCCCAGTAGATCCCAGTAAGGGCTGGATCCTGTCCCAGTGTATCCCAGTAAGGGCTGGATCCTGTCCCAGTGTATCCCAGTAAGGGCTGGATCCCGTCCCAGTGTATCCCAGTAAGGGCTGGATCCCGTCCCAGTGTATCCCAGTAAGGGCTGGATCCTGTCCCAGTAGATCCCAGTAGATCCCAGTTTCCCCAGTAAGGGCTGGATCCCGTCCCAGTAGATCCCAGTAAGGGCTGGATCCTGTCCCAGTGTATCCCAGTAAGGGCTGGATCCCATCCCAGTAGATCCCAGTAGATCCCAGTAGATCCCAGTTTCCCCGGTAAGGGCAGGATCCCATCCCAGTGCTCCCAGTAAGGGCTGGATCCTGTCCCAGTGCTCCCAGTAATGGCTGGATCCCGTCCCAGTAGATCCCAGTAGATCCCAGTTTCCCCAGTGAGGGCTGGATCCCATCCCAGTAGATCCCAGTAAGGGCTGGATCCCGTCCCAGTAGATCCCAGTAGATCCCAGTTTCCCCAGCAAGGGATGGATCCCGTCCCAGTTTCCCCAGTAAGGGCTGGATCCCATCCCAGTAGATCCCAGTAGATCCCAGTGTATCCCAGTAGATCCCAGCGCACCCCAGTTTCCCCAGTAGGAGCCGGCCTCACCGGGCGGCTCCGGCTCTGGCGGCTCCGTCCCGGCGCTCAGCGAAGCCTCTGGAGCCTCCGGAGCCTCCGGAGGGGCCGGCATCGGCCACGGGCCGGGCATGGGGGGGTCACGGCACGGGGGGGCCGCCCTGGAGCTGGGGGGACAAAACCGGGAATGGGGGAGCTGATCCCCAATCCCAGAAAATTCCCAAATTCCCGGATCTCCGTCAAAAACCGGGAATGGGGGAGCTGCTTCCGAATCCCAGAGAATTCCCAAATTTCCAGATCTCCATCAAAAACCGGGAATGGGGGAGCTGCTTCCGAATCCCAGAGAATTCCCAAATTACCGAGAATTCCCGAATTCCCCACAATTCCCAAATTCCCGGATCTCCGTCAAAAACCGGGAATGGGGGAGCTGATCCCCAATCCCAGAGAATTCCCAAATTCCCGAATCTCCGTCAAAAACCGGGAATGGGGGAGCTGATCCCGAATCCCAGAAAATTCCCAAATTCCCAAGAATTCCCAAATTCCCAGGAATTCCCAAATCTCCATCAAAAACTGGGAATGGGGGAGCTGATCCCGAATCCCAGAGAATTCCCAAATTCCCGAGAATTCCCAAATTCCAGACAATTCCCAAATTCCCGGATCTCCGTCAAAAACCGGGAATGGGGGAGCTGCTCCCGAATCCCAGAGAATTCCCAAATTCCCAGGAATTCCCAATTCTCCATCAAAAACCGGGAATGGGGGAGCTGCTCCCAAATTCCAGAGAATTCCCAAATTCCCGAGAATTCCCAGATCTCCATCAAAAACCGGGAATGGGGGAGCTGCTCCCGGATTCCCCACAATTCCCAAATTCCCGAGAATTCCCGGATCTCAGTGAAAACCCAGGAATTTCGGGAGCTTTTCACAAATTCCCGCCAGTCCCCGAATCCCAGCAATTCCAGGATCCCGCCGATTCCCAGATGCCGGCCAAAAAAACCAGGAATTCAGGAGCTTTTCCCAGATTTCTGCCAATCCCCGAACCCCGGGAATTCCGGGATCCCGGGAATTCCGGCAGGAATCCGGGAGCTCCTCATCCTCTCTCCTTCCAGCAGGGGGGGAGGAAAAAACCGGGATTTTTCTTGGAATCTTTCCCAGCAGAGCCGGTTCCGCCGCCCTGGAAAAGTCGGGAATGGATTCCCGGACTCCGGGAGACGCCGGGAGCCAGAGCCGGATGCAAAAGAGGAGGAGGAAAATTCCCATTTTTTTTTAATCCCGGGATGATCAAAGCTCCCAAAAAATCCCCCCAGGGCCGGGGAGGCTTCGCCATTCCCAACATCTTCAAGTCCAGGCTGGAATTTTTCCTGGGATGGGGCTCGGGATCCGAGCCCCGAACCCCAAATCCAACGTTTGGGATTCAAATATTCCCGGAAAAATTAAAAAAACAAAAAAAAAAGGGGGGAATGGTTAAAAATAAGGAATAAATCCCAGCGTTTCCGGGTGGGAAAGGTTCTTCCCAACGGCTCCGGAGAATTCCAAGAGGAAATTCCACTCAGGCGGATCCGGGAAAGCCGGGAATGAGTTTTCCCGGGGAAAAAAAAAATCCCACTGGGAGAGGGAGAATCCGGCGGATGAAGGATCCGGGATTCCCATCCTGGAGGAACTGGGAATGAGGTGGGAGAATCCCAAGGCTCCTTTTCCAGGAGAATCCAACCCCGGGATCCAGCCGGGAATCCGGGATGAGCTTCCAAACCCAGGATCCCGGGATTGTCCGAGGTCACCGAGGCCAAGCCGGGATGGATCGACTTCCAGAATTCCAGGAATTCCTGGGACGCCTCCAGGGATGGGGATCCAACCTTCCCCGAGCCTCTTCCCACGCCTCCCAACATTTTTTTCCATGGGGAAAATCATCCCAAATATCCAATCCCGGCAGAGCTGGAGGATCCTGGAATCCTGAATTCCCGGCAAAAATTCCAGGATTCGGGAATTCCCACTAGATCCCTAAATCCCCCCCATCCCAAATTCCCGAGGAATTGCTCGGGATTCCCGGGATAAATCCCAAATTCCCGTTGAATTACTCAGGATTCCCAGGATAAATCCCAAATTCCCGAGGAATTGCTCAGGATTCCCGGGAGAAATCCCAAATCCCTTCACCCAGGTAATCCCTTCCCTGGATTCCCTTCCCAGGAGAAATCCCAAATTCCCGAGGAATTGCTCGGGATTCCCGGGATAAATCCCAAATCCCATCTCCCCATCCCTCCCAACCACCCCAGAGCCGCTTCCAGGCGTCTCGGTGGGATTTGGGAAGGACGATCCCGGAAATCCCCGCTGGGAATTCCCACGTTTTCTCCGGGAGAAAGCCCCAAATCCCAATTCCTGCCCCGAAAGGACTCCGGGATCAGCCGGGATCAGCCGGGATCGGGGTTTGGATCCATGAAAACTCCTCTCCATCAGCTCCCGATCCTTTGGGATCTCCTCCATCCATCATTCCCGGATCCCGGGAACGCCGGGATATTTCCGTCCACATCCAGGGAATTCCTCGCATTCGGGGGGGAGCGGCGCTGACCGGAATTCCCAAGCCGGGAATTCCCAAATCCCTTCCCCAGCATCGCAGCCGGACAATAAATCCATAAAAACCCTCCGGAAAACTCATCCCAAATCCCAAATTAATCCGGATCCGCCACCTCCAGGCTGCTCCCTCCGGCCCCATTGTCCGCCAGGATCCGGGGAAAAACAAGGAATCATCCCACGGGATCATTCCAAAGGTTGGGATCCTCTGGAATACGCGGCGGGGACGGATTTGGGGTCACCGGG